TAAGTTTTCCATTTTTCTTGACTTCTGGGACAGCTCATTCAATTCCAGTTCATCAGTACAAATGCACTAAACACCTGGGTCCAACCTGAAACTGGCAAATCCTCCCAGAGCTCCCACAATGTGGTAACAGAAGTCACCTAGACTCCTCACTCTGTGCCACAGTAACCTGGCTGAAAAGTTTACAGGTGCACTGCACTCCTGTGCACACACCTAATTTGCACCCTTTAAGTTTAAAACCAAATATGCCTGGGGCTAAACCCAGAGTAGTCCAAAGTTGATCTGGTACACCACCACTGGAAAAAAGAAAGAGTTTCCCTACTACATTCCCTGTCTTTAGTCTCTTCAGTTACATACCTTTTAGAAATACTCCAAAAGATCTTGGAGTCAGGAGAGATTGTCAGGACTTTATTAATTTAGAGGTTTAGTGACAGTAACCATTCCACATAGAAGAGTTAGTTTGGAATTTGCATAATTACAGGCATTCAACATGTTTTCAGACCCCAGCTGCATCCCTTGCAGACAGGATTCTACAACCAGAATAACTTAATATTTAAACCCAGGCAATTTCAAACAAGAACAAAGCATAACTGTCCAACCAAAACAGAGGTTCTTATTTCAAAGCGTGCAAAGTATCTGCTTTCAAAGCCATGCTTACCTCTCTAGCCACAGCTCTCTTAGGCTCAACCACCCTTCCATCAATTGTGTGAGGTCTTGCAGCCATGGCTGCATCGACTTCAGCCATGGAGGAGAATGTTACAAAACCAAACCCCCTTGATCTTTTGCTTGCAGGATCCCTCATTACCTAAAAATAATAAACGTGTTTAAAAACTTTCTACCTGTCTCATGTTAAGCTTAACACTAACAACATTTGGATAAAACATGTAAAAACTTAATTTGCATTTTCCTTGATTCGATTTCGAAACACAACTATAATAAAGCAGCAGGCTATGCTGATTTAAGTACATGAACGGCACCGCTTAGCATCACAGAAATTCAACTCATTGCTGTCCTCCAATACTGTACCGTAACTCAGAAATGCTGCTATATCAGAGCCATATATGTTTTTGTATTAAAAAAATAATAATTAAAAAAAAAATCACACAATTGCTTTTAAGCTTTCTGAAGACTAGAGACTCTGCGTTATAGAATATGTATTTACTGCTCCCAAAACAAACTGAGTGGAGAAACTTCTGCAAGAGTCACCATCTCTGGAGGTATTTAAAAGATGTGTACACATGGCACTTAGGGAGGACATGGTTTAGTAGTGGACCTGGCAGCTTAAGGTTCACAGCTGGACTCACTGATCTTAAGGGTCTTTATCAACCTAAATGATTCACACAGGAAGACATCCTCCTCTTCCGGCTTTAGCGAGGCTGCTTACCAGACACCAGCTTTCTGCTAAGGTTACCAATCACACAGATGTAACAGTGCTCTGCCTAAGCACTCCCTCAGGCACTTCAGCCAATCACCCAAGTTAACTTTAAACTGCTGAAATCAGAGGTTAGAGATAATCTACAAAATTTTACAGGAAACAGACTGAAAATGCTCCCTAACTCTACTGCCAGAGTTTGTATGGGAGAAGTCTCTGCACAGTTTCAATGGACTAAATAAATCAACCAACTGTACGCTTAAAAGAATTTAACATTCCATCCTTTTATTAAGCTCTTCAGAAAACAAACTTCCCACTTCTACAATTTCTAAACATTTTATGCCATCATTGTGCGTTAGTATGCCAAACTTACCACACAGTCTGTAAGCTTTCCCCATTGCTCATAGTAACTCCTCAAGCTTTCCTCTGTTGTTTCAAAGCTTAAGCCACCAATAAACAGTTTGCGGAACTGCTCCTTTTCCCTCTGTCAGAGAGCAGAAGATTACATTAATATAATTAATAACACCCCCTCTGCATCAGCATAATTAGGTAAGATTTTTCTAAGTGTCGAAGACTTTCAGTAAGATATTTTTTTCAAAATTAGGCTTGGCTCTTGAGATGTTCCACTATTCAAGAAATTAAGCAAATTATACAATTCTACGGGTTTACTTTTACATTTCAGTTTTCAATAATGTGCTTCTTCCCATCTCTTACTCCAAATATTAAGAAGGAAACACTCCTAGACTTCCAGAACAGTCCTCTCAAAGATCTTTATAAGATGCTTTTTAAAGAAAAGGAAAACAAAAACAAACCCAAGAGTTCTCATTACAGATAACACAAATTCATTAATACTGTCTGATTCTATTCCAGAGGACATTTATTTTCAATAACGATTCTGGCTCAAATTACATGAATACTAGCATACTATTTACTCAAAGCATTAAGAACAAAACCAAATGAAGATACGGTTAAAGATATTCTAAAATGGGTCATCGATTCATATTTTCTCATCAATTATTAAAATGAATGAAAGCTGGGGCATCTGTAGAATTAATCTAGGATCCTGCATCATTTGCATTAACTGTAAACCTATCCACCCTCAACAGCAGCAGTATTAAAAAAAGTGGATTCCCTTTAAAATGAAAATGTGAATAATATTCATATATGTATCTGCTAATATAAAATATGCTTTAAGTGAGACTTTGTTGTATTACTTTTCTTTCAGAGACATTATCACTGCACTTATTAAAAAAATGCAGGACCAATAATAAGGTACTACATTTACTGTTCTGTATGTAGTATTACAGCAAAGCAGGAAGGACAACCTTCCAACCTCTACTAGTTAAAAAGACCTTTATACTCACTTTTTACACCAAACAGGCATCAGAATTGTCATTTTCTACATACAACAGCTTTGCTAGATCATACATTTTGCCATTTCATATGTCAAAAGGCAACAATTAAGGAAATGCACTAAAAATAGTCCCCTTCCACAAAACTTAAGATTCCAGAATATTCTTGGAAAAGTAACTGTCCTGCTAGGGACAGGAGAATGCAAATGCAATGATTACATCAGCTTTATACTGTTAACTAACTTCAAAAACCAAGAAAATGTGCTTGTGTGTTTGGTTTTGTGCTTTCTTTAGGGTGGTCGTTGTTTTTTAAGCAACCCAAAACCTGCATTAGTCAGCTATAACTGACAGATACAACATGACCAACTATGCACTGTACACTAAGATAAACCTAAAAAGAAAATTAAGACAGCCAATGACAAAACAATGAGATTTGGGAAATAAGCAAAATATTCAGTGCACAAATGCTTTTAAAAGTATTAAGCCAATCTAATCTGCATGTAGACCAACATGTTTTCTGAGGTGGTCCAAGGCAGGTCTGTATCTAGATGCATGTCACAGGAAGACAATTACTGTAGGTAGTACTGAATCTATTTTTGTTCAAAATGCATCACCCTATTACCAGCTTGAGATACTGCAGTCTGAAAAGGAACTCAACCCTTAGAAAAATAAACTTTTCTCCCCTCAAAAACAAACACTGTATTTGAGAACGATCAGTTTAAATGTCTCTTAAAACCAGTTGGAACTTGCCCCTGATCTACTATTTTTTCTTCTAACACAGAGGACGCTAGTACTGTCTTCTCTTTGTACACAGGCAAAATTAGACACAAGAGTTTAAAAGCAGCAAACCCATGCTATGTCAAGTTTCCTTTCACCTCATCTCTTAGGAAAGGATGCTGCATTATCAGACTTGGACTACAATGTCATATGCTGCAAGTCATATTATTCTTTATAATTTGAGTAGGTTAGCAGAGAAATTATTTTAAGCGATGGTATCACCAAAAAAATCCTCCCTTCAAATTACTTCAATTCTGCTGCTTTAAAATTAGGGACTACTTGCAACAGCTTTATAAGCCCACAGGACACTTTCCTATAGAACCAACTGTCACGTGTCTAATAATGAACGCTTATATTCTTACAAAATATATGATAATCAAGAAATTTAGTAGGCAGGTCGGATTTTTCCAGTGTTAGGTTCACCTTTGAAAACAGTTATAAACATGTCAACAAAACTCCAGGAAAGAATAATATCCATCAGCTGTAACTACTGCATTTGTTTTTTAAAGAACATATACAACACATTACTAATAAACATTAAACATAGTAACAACAACAAAAACACACTTTATGGATTTATGAATTATTAGACACCGTAATCTACCATGCATTAAGTGTTACGCAGCACACGCCCTAAAAAACCCCATCTAGACACCACACGTATCAGGACAGGGCAATAACAAAATTCACTACTAGTTCATCAATGAAAACCACTGTGGGAAAGTATCACAAACATATTATTCCACTAATACATACACTGCCTCTGGACATAGAGAGATTATCTGTCTTAAATATATCAGTTTTAAGAAACTCTGGTCAGTCTACCATTAGCCTCCCACCAGGGTCCAGACAGCTCTGACCATCTGAAGTTTATGCTGAAGCTATAAAATGCATGATAAAAATTATTACCACACCCATCCCTCTCAAGAAATCTTGATGAAAAGCCTCATTTGGTATAAACAACCCCCTACACATACAACCCGTCTCTGCCAAGGCCCACAATATAAAAGCTGGAAGAATAACATCTTTCAAGGTTTTCATAGTATGCTCCCTGGCAGGAATGGACTGTCAAGGGAAATCTTTATGAACTCTGTAGAATCATTAGTGTTTATTTTAAGCTTTCCTTCACAGGCTTAAAACAACACTTCAAAGGACTGGAAACTGCATAGTTTTTGCTGGAAAATTCATCATCAGAGCAAGGAAATGTGTTTCATATATAAACAGTGCGTGCACAAACATTCCAAACTGACTTCCTCGGAGTTAAGAACCCGAGTAACAAAAACGGTAAGCAGAGACCACCAAGTGCGGTCTCTCAACTACTATGGCTAGGCCTGCCAAAAGCAAAGCTGGGTTTACTGCTCCCGAATTAGAAAGAAACTCCTCCCCGCCCCCCGTTAGCCCCTATACGTTCTACAGGGCTTCGCAATCCAACTCTGGTCGTGTCCC